GGCAGCCTCATGCTTTCTGCCTGCAAATAGCCCCTGACACCAAGGAGGGCACAGCCAGGCTCTAAGTTGTCTTGAAGTTTTTGGGGGGCCATAAGCAGTCCAGGAATATCCTACCACCCTCCACCTCCTCATCCTTTCGTGCCTGAAAAATAAATAACTGCATATCCTCCTGCAGTTCTTGAGAGCTGCCTGTGTTAAAACCAAAATAAAACATTTCCAGGCTCAGCTAGAAACACGTATTGATGTCTAAGAGGAGCAGACATCTGATGGAAATACTGACACGCTTTAGCACTTGGAGCTGCAAACCACACAGAAAGTGAATTATCGCTGGGATGAGCCAAGCAGCTACAGAGATGAAGTATCTTATCCTTATAAGTGAATACATACAAAAGCATTTTAGCATTGCTGGGCCAGCTGCTCCTCGTTGTGGAAGGTGCCTCCTGGCTAGTTGCTGCCTTTTTGTTCCTCTGAACAGATTGAAAATTGCTTCTTTCTTTGTAGCGTGTTTGCTATGAGTGGCAGTGATGATGCAGCAAGTGCTGATCTCCATCAGAAGCATCTCTTGGTGGTTCCTAACTCATTACTGCTTTGACTAAACTAATAAATGGTTCAATATTAGTCATGTCTTGGGACCCCACAACCTAAACTGCCTCCTCCTCTCTTAAGACCCCATTAAAGCTTCTTGTGGTTTAACCCCAACCAGCAACTAAGTACCACACAGCTGCTTGCTCACTCCCCCTTGCTGCCAGTGGGATGGGGAGGACAGCTGGAAAAAGGTAAAACCCAGAGGTGAGATAAGATAACAGTTTAAAAGTTGAAATAAAATATAATAATAGTAATGAAAAGTGAGATAACGAAGAGAGAGAGGAATAAAACCCAAGAAAACCAAGTGATACACAATACAATTGCTCACCGCCCGCTGGCTGATAACCAGCCCATCCCCGAGCAGCGATCGGCCCCTCCCGGCCAGCTCCCCCCAGTTTCTATACCGGGCATGATGCTCTAAGGTATGGAATATCCCTTTGGCTGGTTGGGGTCAGCTGTCCTGGCTGTGCTCCCTCCCAGCTTCTTGGGCACCTCCTCGCTGGCAGAGCACGGGAAACTGAGAAGTCCTTGACTTAGAGCAAGCACTACTTAGCAACAGCTAAAACATCAGTGTGTTATCAACATTGTTCTCATACTAAATCCAAAAACACAGCACTGTACCAGCTACTAGGAAGAAAATTAACCCTATTCCAGCAGAAACTAGGACAAAGCTGCAAATGCATTAATGCCTGCTCTGCTGGCAAGTGATGGA